AAAATAAAATATACTGATTGAATATTCTCTGTTTCTGTATATAAAGAACTTGAAAGCGATGATCCAGATCTAAAGTCCATATCAGAATGTCAGAAAATATATGATTGAGAGAAATGGAAAATGGCCATTGAAACATAATTATTCTCCATAAATAAAAGAAAAGTTTTTGGACCTCTTGTCACAACACCAGAGCATGTTATACCAGTTGGATACAAATGGGTGTTTATAAGAAAGAGAATTGAGAAAAATGAGGTCACAAAAATATAAAGCCAGGCTTGTGGCACAAGGGTTTTCTCAAAGACCGGGAATTCATTATGAGAAAACATATTCCCCGTTAATGGCTACAATAACATTCAAACTCTTAATGGGTCTAGTAGCATCCAAGAATCTAGATATGTATATGATAGATTTTGTGACAGCATATCTATATGGATCACTTATGAATGATATATATATGAAAATCTTTGAATGATTGAAAATGCCGGAAGCATTAAGATCACATCTAAAGAGATGTGAGCGATCAAATTACAGAAATACACATCAGGATTTGTGATCATTGCTATTTATATTGATGACCTGAATATAATCAGAACTCAAAAAAAGATTGATGATGCAAGAACTCATATGAAGGAAGAGTTCGAAAAGAAATATCTTGGAATGACAAAGTTTTTTCTTGGGCTCCAGATAGAGTATTTCCAATATGGAATATTTGTGCATCAATCAAATTATACGAAAATGATCTTAAAACACTTTAGTATGGATAAAGCGGCTCCTTTGAGTACTCCAGTGGTCAATAGATCGCTTGATGTTGATAAAGATCCATTTCGACCATGTGAGGATAGCTAAGAAATATTAGGTCTTGAAGTACTTTATAAAGAGCGCTATCGGTGGGGTTATGTATCTTGCAAATTGTATTAGACCTGATATAGCTTTGCTAATAATTTACTTGCAAGATACAGCTCATCTCCTACTCGCCGATATTGGAATGGAATAAAACATATATTCTGTTTCCGTTATCTCCAAGGTACGATTGAGTTTAGTTTATTTTATAACATAAACCATGAGGTTTGTCTGGTTGGTTTTGCAGATGCAGAGTATTTATCAAACCTGCATAAGGCTCGATCTCAAACTGGATATGTTTTTACAATTAGAGGAACTGCGATCTCTTAGCATTCCCAAAAGCAAAATTTTGGTTGCAACATCTTCAAATTATGCAGAAACTATTGCGTTACAGGAAGCTTGTACGAAATGTGTATAGTTCAGATCTATAATTCATCATATACAAGATGCAAGCGGAATATAGACAAAGAAAGAGCCAACAAAAATGTTCGAAGATAATGCTACATGTGTCACTCAACTTAAAGAAGGCTATATTAAGAGTGATCTGACGAAACATATCCTTGCAATATTTTTCTCTTACACAAAAGAGCTCGAGAAAAATCAAGAAGTGGACATTCAATATGTTCATTTATGCAACAACGCAGCTGATCTATTTTACAAATGCGCTTCCTACTACAACTTTCAGAAAATATTTTCATAGTATTGGAATGCGGCATCTCCGAGATCTTTGAAGAAAAGATCAGACTCGTTATTTTGAGGGGGAGCATTACTGCACTCTTTTTCCTCACTAGGGTTTTTATCCCAAACTGAGTTTTCCATGATAAGGTTTTTAATGAGGCTGTACATAATGCATTATTAATAATGAATAATCAAAGAGGGAGTATCAAGAAATGGATGTGATTACCCATTTCTTTTTGTCGTTAAACATCCCCACCCTCACCGACTTGACAATTCTATAGATAGAGATGTCCACTTTTTAAATTTATACATACATCAACATACAAAAAAGAATTGATACTTCTCTCTTCTCGGTTACTCTAACACATCTCTCTCTCTCACATCAAACTTAAAATATATATATCTTATATTTTATAATATTTTTTACCATTATTAAAAATGAGTTTTGTGTTTTGATGTTGGCCACAATGGAAATCAATATAAACTTTGCATACTTACACGAAAGTGGAAGATACTACAGGAAATATCAACAGCTTTGAGCGCAAGACTTTAGTTTGAATAAACAACACGAGCAGCATACTCTCGTCCACTATCGCGAGATTGCCCCCCTCCTCCTTTATGACAAGTTCATTACAAATCATCTCCTAATCACTCTCTTAGAGCTATGAGCACTATATCTTGTCTATATTCTTTGTTTTTGTTTGCTTTAGGTTAAACATGATTTAGCCAATTAAAATAGGGCTGTAAATCTCCCAACTTTAAACATCACTTCATAATGTTTCCACAACAAAACTAAATTTTGACAGACGTTAAAACGCTTATATAGAATTGTTTAAACGGTCTTTAAGCTAAAAAGTGTGAGATAATTTTTTTTTAGCGACAAAGTATGTTCTATATGTTAATTGTTAATGTAAAGGTTCAAAAAAGTTAGTTTCGTTAGCTAGCCAATTCCAAACCAACGGATGTACATGGAAAAATCTAAAACCTCGGACGCGTATGTTTCTGCAAGTGAACCCAATAGATTAATTGAACCATTCTTCAACAGGATAAATCCACCACCAAAGAGATGATCTTTTGAAATCCATGATGCATCAATTTGTAATTGGTCTCCTACACCTAAGGGGACCACGTGATTGGTATGTGATGCTATGAGTTCTACGCCTTTACTAACAGTCATGATTAGATTCGCCACTCTCTAGTTTGCTTCTTCTTGTGATGCTAAATCTAATGTAGCCAAGGGAGAGACATCTTTCTGTTAAATATTTTATCATTTTGTGCCTTCCACAAGTACCACATGATCAATGGGAATATCCAAAAGTGATATTCAGCAATGCTTTGTGACATCGTGCTCTCGACCAAATAGTACATATTACCAAAAAGAGAATCTCTCGAAAATAAGTCTGAAATATAATATATTGATGACATAGCCCAGGTTTAAAGAGCATGAGGGCATTGGAAGAAGAGATGGTTAATCTATTCTTCTTCTGCACCACACCAGGGACAAGACCTATCAACTATGCCTTGACGATCTGCGAGTCTGCTGCAGGTCGCCATACATCCGAAGACGATTTTCCAAAATAGATGTTTGATCTTCTTAGAAGTTTCCAGTGCCCAAATCTTGCTTTTAATTGTTGTAGTACTCGGTTCCAGTACTTCCTGGATTTTTTTAGTTTCATCCAATTCACATGCCAAACTATACCCTAACTTTACTGAATTTCCTGACTTTGTGAATACCCAAGAATATCCATCTAGATCGAATTTTTGAGTTGGTTTCAAACTCAGAATAGAGGGGATGTCTTCAGGTGCAGTGAGTGCTTTTAGCTTGTCCACATCCCATGATTTCGAATCAAAACCTACTAGATGATTAACATACAAAGGTGGGTCTTGATGTTCATCTAATTCGTTCACTAGTCTCGCCGGGGTTTCAGAATATCCACGGGTCGCTGCACAATTTTGTATTAAATCTAGATTTTATGATCTTTTTAGCCCTGATTGTAGGAGTGAGTTTTCTGCCATTATGCTTTGCCATCCATATGATGGTGTATTCGATTTCTCGACCTCAAGAGGGTTAGAGTATTAGAAGTATTCCCTTTCAAAACACGCGCCAATAAAGATGATGGAAAACGAATAAGTCGCCATAATTGTTTCACGAAGAGGGCTATGTTGAAATTCTTTTGGTATCTAAACCCAAGATCTCCTTTCTCGTATGGGACACAAATCATCTCCCATGCTAACCAATAAAGGCCTTTATTACTGTATTTTGAGCTCTCCCAGAATCACGATATGGCGCCTTTCAGCATAAAGATAACAACTTGAGGCAGGAGGAAACAAAACATAACATACACCAGTATCGCTTGCGCCACCAATTTGATCAGGATCTACTTTCCACCTTTCGAGAGAAACTTGAAAGATCATGAGTTAACTCTGTTGTTTAGGCGTTCCTGAATATAAGCCAATAGTTGTTTTATGGAACCGCATACCTTCTCCCAAAGGTCCAAATACATGCCCATTCCACCCTCTTTATAAATTATGATCAGTCTCTTCCACATTACTTTGCATTCTGACTTTACTTTACTCCCCAAGAGTATTAAGGATTTGGAGAAGTTTAGCTATCGCCCATATGCTTGCCCATAGGTATTAAGAATTTTTAAAATTTATGTACATTGTGGGACATCCAATCTGCAAAAAGCAGGTTATCTTCTGCAAAAAAAAGATGTGAGATCGCAGAATTTTCCTGCACTATCTTCAAACCTGTTATACGCTCGTTCTCACATTTGACTAATAAGACTCTCTGTACAGAGAATCAACATAAATAGAGACAAATGATCCCCTTGACGGATACCTTTTGATTCCGATTGGGAATACATTAAAATTGCGGATTGGCGAAAAAAAGCTGCCGAATGATTTACTATAGAATTGCAGAACACATTTTTCTTATATGATTAGATAAATTATGCAGAATGACGGAATGACAGAATATATGATTATTAAAATATATAGTTTTATTATATATCATAAAAACTAAAACATTAATAATTATATCAACTATTATAAAATGATATAATTTATCATTGTAATTATTTTTATAATTTGTTTTTCAAAATAAAAAAAGTATATAAAAGTTTAAAAATATTGCAAAACTTAATAGACATAATTTTATTATTAAATTATTTTTATAGCACCAAATTATTTATTTGTATTTATTTAAATAATAAAATATAATTATTTATATAATTAAATAATATAAAACATTAATTCTATAAATAATCTACTTAAAACATATTTTTCTATTTAATAAAAAATGTGTATTTTAGAAATAAAAACACAATTCTCTGTGGTTTTTACTATTTTATGTTTTTTTACAAAAGAATTTTGATTGATAATTTTTTTATGTTTTTTCTATCGTTCAACCATTGCACCATTCCACCATTCTACCATTTTATCAAATTTTGCAATTAGAGTCTATATCTTTTGGATCCTCCATTAAGATCAAAGCTTGAGACAATTAAATTTTGCTTCCCAAAGATGGCGTAAAAATATTTTAAATAGTAGGGAAAATATGAAAATAGGTAATAATAGGAGGTCTTATTTGAAAGTTACCCAATTTAATGTGGAGGCAGCTGCTATCCGAAAATCTGATACGAGATCGCCGTTTCTAGGGCTTTTCTGTTTGTTCTCTGCCTCTCGAGTTTGAAGCCATCTCCATTACAGTTCGTCAAAATTCTCAGGTTTTTCTCTTTCACTCCTTCCGAATTTCGATATGCTTCTCGTAATTTAAGTTCGATTGCTCTTAGGTGTTGTTTTAACGGGTTGAAACACAAATCCGATTCGTTTCTTCTAGCCTGATCGATACGATTTTGCAAGCTCCGTCAGAAATTGGTAGCGAATTTCACTTGTTCTTTTCTGGGTCTGTCGAAATTGAACTCCTTTACGGTGTAATTTTCCATGAACATATATTGATATTGCTTCCCGATTTCTAGGGTTGCGGATGAATCTAGGATTTTATATTCTGTGATTGAAGGTTGGTTTTGTTGGGGTTCCCAGGATTTGTTCTTGTTTTGCGTTCTTCCTACAACGACAAAGTTCATGTTTTTCTTAATGTGTTGAGTTTCTGTTTCAGGTTTTGGGCTCGCTAGGCTTCTCTGTATCTCTGATCATTATCACATTTGATAACTCATGGCAGAGATACAGACAAACGGAAGGGCGTACGAGTCACTGTTGGAAAAGGTTCTTTCGATGAACATTCTTTCTTCTGACTATTTCAAAGAGCTATATGGTTTAAAGACTTATCATGAGGTAATTGATGAAATCTACAACCAAGTTAATCATGTGGAGCCATGGATGGGTGGAAATTGCCGTGGTCCTTCGACAGCTTATTGTCTCCTCTACAAATTCTTCACCATGAAACTTACAGTTAAGCAGATGCATGGGTTGTTGAAGCACACAGATTCTCCTTATATTAGAGCGGTGAGTGGATCCTTTTTAGCCCTCTTCTTGCATTATTGACCTATACGATATAGTTGCTAGTAGCGCCTCAAAAATCATCTGTTTGATTAAATCGAATTTGATGCTAGTAGAAGACTATAATTGCATTTTGCATATTTATCTAGCCTTGTGTGCTGTTTGTTTCAATACCTGTTCCTCGTGTTACTGGATAACAGATGAGTTGTTTTTTATTAGACCATAACTAGAGAGCCTCTTACAGTCAGGTAATAGCATCCCTTACCTCTGGGTTCCATCTGAAACTGTTCTTTTCTCATCCCGTATTAAAGATACACATAATTGTTCTCATGTTTTCGTAACAGATATTCACAACCACAAACAAAGTTGGGATGTCATTCTTTCTTTGAGTTGCTCAGAGTTTCTCCCACCAATATAAATAAGAGTTTTCTTTGCTAGCAGTATCTGCAAATCAAGGTTTGAGGTGTTTTCTATTTTAGCTACTCTGTCTCTCTAGGATCACCTCGCTGCCCATTTAATAGTATAGAAACTAGCCACTGTGACCAAGAACTGTCTAGGATACTTCACTCGTAGTTAGGCACCGGTTTTTCACTTAAAGTTCCAGGGTCTATGTGAAGTTTTTTCTTTTCATTAGATAGAACTTGCGTGCTTCCTTGGGTTAATGAAAGTTACGCTAGTCTTGCATTTTATGTGGTGTTTCTCTAACTTCTTGCATTTTATATTTTCTAGCAACTTGTCTGATCTGTTTATGTTCATTGCTTGTGATCTGACCACAAGGAACTAAATGTGCAGGTTGGATTCTTATATTTGAGATATGTTGCAGATGCAAAGACATTGTGGACATGGTATGAACCATACATTAAAGATGATGAGGTAATCAATTTTCTATTTTTCATGTTCTTAATTATGATAGTACCATACGATTATGGATAACATTTCCTGATATGAAACTCTCATAAAATATCGTACGCAATCACCTATTCATACATATGGGTTCGTTAAAGTTGCTGTGTAAGTCTAGCATCGTGTTTTTCTTTAGTTCCTTAATATGTTTTTTTTTTTTAATTTATATGCTTTTGCTAGTATTCTAAATGAGATCCCACAATAGAGTTTGGAACCATAGAATAGAAAATGTCTCTGTCCTGAATGGCTACAATTATACTGCATCTCAGTTTTTAAACTCTTTAGGTGTACTGTCTCTTTCTTAAAGTTTTGTGGACCTTTCTTACGATGTATGGGTTCTTGTGGCCTACTGCTTAGCAAATTCTTTGTTGTGGATTCATGTTCTTATCATAATACACGTTCCATCTTGTTTGAACATGGCTCTGCATTGCTCTTGTTGGTATACTGCTTTACATAAATAATTGAATATTTTATTTACTTTGCTTCAGGAGTTTTCACCGGGATCAAATGGACGGACGACGACAATGGGTGTATACGTACGCGACTTGCTACTTGGACTGGTGAGTCCCAAGCTGTGATAATACATGGTTAAAATTCTCTCTTGTTAAATGTGATGGTTTAATGTCTGCATGATGCTATTTCTGAATCCAACTTACTATGTTTGTTTTTTTGCAGTATTACTTTGATACTTTGTTTCCACGTATTCCTGTTCCTGTCATGCGCCAGATTGTATCAAACCTTGAGAAGATGAATTTACCAACTAAACCTTCTGGTTCAACCGGAGACATGACCCGTGGCTCGGAAGACACTGCACGTCGTCCACCATCAGTGAAAGCATCACTCTCTGTTTCATTTGGTCAGCGTGCACCTCACCGTGCTTCCACCAGAGGCTCCTCTCCTGTTCGCCGTCCTCCACCTTCTGGTTATGACAGAAACGGAGGCGATGAACAACAACAGCGGTCCCCACGTAGGAGCCAAAGCCGAGACTATTATTCTGACAGAGACTCAGATAGACAGCGGGAGAGAGAGAAGGACAAAGATCGCGAGAGAGACAGAGAGAGGGAGAGAGATAGGTACAGAGAAAGGGAGAGCGATTATGGTAACAACAGGAGATCGAGGCGTGACTATGAAAGTAGAAGCAGACGCAGTGATTATGAGGATGATAGAAGCAGACATGACAGGAGAAGCAGGAGCAGAAGTAGGAGCAGGAGTTTGCAAATTGAGCGTGAGCCGACTCCTAAAAGAGATTACAGCAGCACCAACAAGGAGAAATCGGCTGTGACTGTGAACAGCAATCTTGCAAAGCTAAAAGATTTATATGGAGACGCTAGTAATCAGAAAGGTGATGAAGGATTTGGAACAAGGAGGGATTCAAGTTCAGAAGAAGTCATTAAGCTTGGTGGTTCCTCTTGGAGGTGAAAAAAACAAACAAGACAAAAAAAACTGTGGATTTTAAAATGCTTCTTATAAGGATGATTGATGCATGTTGTTTCTCTGTATTGTTTCGAATCTCTAGCAAACTATTTGTTATATTGCCTGAAATTACAGTTTTTAGAATTGATCTTAATCTTGAATTTGTTTACATATTGTGCTTTCTGGTCACAAAAAGGTGTGAATTTTGTTTTGACAATACTCTTTCTTTCTTCTTGCTCTGCTCTAGATTTCGGAAGTTTCACAGTTTTATGTTTTTGTTTAGATGCAAAAGGATTTTTCTTCTATACATATTATGCACGCCAATGAAACAGGTAGCATGTGATATTAGGATCAGAAGATAACATATGATCAATGGCCTAATAAGAAAAATAAAAGCAGGATTTCATTTAGGATTTTTCACATGAACGCATTATATCTTTGTTCTTGTTTTACGTTCTTTCATCAACAAACTTTTTTGTTCTTATTGCATTTTTGTATATTTTCACTTGCAATTTGAAAACTTAGAAGGAAAATAAAATCAACAATAACTTAATTTGCTTAATCTTAAACTAATTTTACCAGTAATAAACTAAAATAGATGATTACTTTTGGTTAACTTTATTTTAAACTAGAAATTGACCTGTGTATTGTGCGGATTTATCTGTTAATTTATGTTATTATTATATTTTTTGTTTTTATTTTATTGCTTTTTTATTTTACATATTGTTTTATTTTTTTTATTATTGTAATTTTTTTAATTTATTGTGAAATATTTTCTAATATAAATTGTAATGTTAATTGTTTAAAAAAAAATTTCTCTTATACAATGTTGTAAGTATCTATGTTTTTGTATTAATTATTTTATTCAATTGACTTTTTATGTGGTTTATCTCTAACGAGATCAATCAAAGGATATTACAATCGATCCCACACATTCTCTTTCTCTTTTATTCGAAATAGATTTTTAGTTTGTAGAAAAATTATAGTTTTGTTATTTATAGAATAAGTATTTTTTTTTTTTACTTTTAAACTAATGTCATATGGAGACTCAAATCATAGTCTCTCTTCAGTATAGTTCTTAGTCATTCAGATGTACATTCTTTTTCGTTAGAGTATATGCATTTTGATTTTTTATCGATAACATTATTGATAGATTTTGATATTTATTTATTTTTTTAATAAATTTTAGTGAGTTTTCTTAGACTTTTGAGTTATTTGTTTTCTTTATTGATTATTTTTATAGGTTTTCCAAATATGTTTGCATATTTTTTTATCTTTATTAAAATTAGTATTCTAAATTATTAATTTTGTAAAACATTTACAGATTTTTGGTTTGTAAATTTTGTTTTGTATTTATTTTAAATTAATGTGATAGGAAGCCATAAGAAAATATAAATCCAAAATTTTAAAATGTCCATAAAAATAAAACAAAATGTTGATGTGGACAATACAATAAATGTGTCCCGCATAATTATTTATAAATCCAATTTTTAAATTTCTAATTATATATATTTAAATTATTATGTTTGTATCTTTATATTTTATATTTTTTCTATTTATATTTGTTGATTCTTTAAATTAAAAATATTGAAAATATTAATTTTATTAATTTTATTTTTTTATTATCTGAGATTATTTGAGACTATTGTACAGTTATTTTTCTATATGTTAATTGTTTTAAAAAAAAGTTTCTATGTATATGTTGATGTAAGTATTTATGTTTTACCACTGAATATTTCTATTCAATTGACTTTTTTCTTAAAACAATTTCTAAAACTTTTTTACCATCAATCTCACTCTCTCTTCCATTTTCTTATTTGAAATAGAATTCTGAATTTGTAATTCGAAAAACAATTATAGAATTGTTTTTTATTCCATTTTTTACTTTATGATTTTATATATTTATCAGACTATTATGTTTACCTTTCCAATATTTGTTTTGTTATTTATAAGTATAATTTTAAATTTTAAATGTTATTTTAGTTTATTTATTATCCTTATGTAGACCTATTATGAAATTATTTTTCTAATATAAATTATGATGTGTTAATTGTTTAAAAACTAGTTTTTATACATATATGTTGGCATATGTATCTATGGTGGGTATATTGGTTTGATGATTTGGGATAATTTAGAAATCACTAAATTTGAGGAAATTATAAAAAGATTCAAAATTTAAGAGAATTTTTCAAAGTTATTGTTATAAACTTTAAAGGTGATTAGAAGGGATTTGGGAATTTTTAAAAAGCAATTTTTTCTAGTGTTTACAAAATATTTATTTTAAAGCTTCTATTTTCACTCTTCATTTAAAATAATACAAACCATTTTCAATATTAAAACATAATTACACAACAAAGCCTGATATACAAACGAAAATGCAAAATAGTTTAAGAAGTGTTGGCCATTGACTTGATGAGCAAGGCATATCCTTCGGGAACATGCCACTGCAGACGCACACACTCCGCTAATGCAGGGACGTCCGACGAAAGGTCTCGAAACTGAGCCACAAAGAGAAGCAGATGAAAATCTCACATCTTCTTCACTAACTGGGAACAGAGATTTTTCGGCTACAACAAGGAAAAGACACTGTGAACCGATTCTCATACAGAAATTTCGCTATTTTTCTTTCTTTATCCTTCGAACATATCATATTGACAAAGCTGACTTTTTACGGAGAGCTAGTATTGCAGATTAAATGTATAGTGAAATCTATAAATTCACTGATCTACAAGTACTGTTATACAAAAGAAAGTAAACACTGAACTCACAAACTAGTCTTATCAGAACCTTCTAAATCTACAATGACTTAGCTCGAGGTTTCATTGTAGCCATCTTCCACCCCAATCCTAAACAATCAGAGTATTAATGGAAACCATATTCAAAGCTCTAATCTTTCACCCGATCTTAAAGAGAGCAACACAAGCATCTTATTCTTATCATAACAAGATACTGAGATAGAAGCATAGAAAAGCAACCTGATGATCCAAGATCTTGACGACCACGAGGGAGAAATCATTACCAATCTCCTTAACATCCTTCACGCTGGCAACTACCTCTTTCTTCATCTTTGAGAGCTTGGGATCATCGTCCGGCCCAATCTCCATCCTGAACCACCCTTCCTTGAACAGCCTGCTGCACATATCACTCATCTGAAACGTCTCGAAATGGACATTGGCGCCACCGTCCTCATTGACCTCGAGTTTTACGACCACCGTAACCCACTCCTGCAACTCGCTGTCGAGGTGAAGCTCCACCACCTGTAAGACCTCCACCTTCGACAATTTATACTCAGAATTGTCCTGCATCACAATCTGGTTGAATATAAAACTGACCCTCCTCCCCAAGCCCATGGCAATTGCGTCCATGCACTTCTCTTCCTCGGCATCTCTCATCACAATCAGATTCGCCTCGGTCCCTTGCTGTGGCGGCTCGTATATGAGATCAACTTCGACCGGTTCTTCCTCAGTCACGGTGACGTACATAAAACCACTGCGCTTGACCGCAAACACCAGCGATTCCTTGACATGGCCCATTCGCCATCAAACAAGACGGAGTCGCAGTGAGACTTCTCCTGACGAGCGATCGAGTCATCGACATTCATCTTCCTCCCGAACGATCCAGCAGGCGTGACAGCAGAACCTCCATGAATCATGCGCTCCCCCTCGTTCGTACCATGAATATGGCGAGACGATTGGATGGAACTGGAGTTTAACCCAAAAAGTCCACAAATCATGTTCTCAGTTTCTTTTTTTTTTTTTTTTTTTTTGTAGTAAACTTCATAAGATAATTTTTATTTGGATCTATTAGTTTTTAACTACAAATTATCTTACAAATCATTCCAAATTATTTTTATATATTTTATTGTTTAAATTCCTGTTTTCCAATAAGCTGATATTTGAAAGAGTTTTTATAAATGACTAAGGATGTTTCCGTGCTACGCACGAATTGTTTTTATATAGATATTTGATTATTATTTAAGTTAACTTATTTTAACTTCAAATTGTTATTTTAAATATAATATTTGATTTTTAATATTGTTTTGATATGGTTATACATCGAAAGTTTGCGTAATAAAAAAATGTATTATAATTTAATTTAATAATTTACCTACTTGATATACGTAAAAATTAATTGTTAATCTAAAACTTAATATTTGTATATAAACTCACTATTATTCACTAATTTTCAAAATATAATTAAAATTGTTTTTTTAACTAAATTTGATTATTATTGTTCTAATTAATTTGGATTTTTTTTTATTTTAATTTTGTTTGTTTAGTATTTTTATTGCATTAGCAATCTCAAATACAAAATAAAACTCAATATTACAGACTCTTACAAATCTGTAAAGTAACTATTGTTAATATAAATAAAACAACATTTACATAGTATATAAAATTACAATCATATTGATAAACTGTAATTTTGATTTGGTCTCTCAAGCATATGTAAATTATAGAAATATAGATGAATATGACAAGTAATACATATACAAATATAATTTTATTCTAACTCATTCTGTTAAATAAAATATGTCGAGTTTTTCAAAACTCAAAAGATGTAAAAGGTTCATTTGCATTTGGATTGTAATTTAACTTCTATATTTTAGTTAAACTACACATACATTTTGATGAGCCTTTTATAATTAAGCTAATAATATATATTATATTATTTGTAAAGGAGTTTCTTAACCTAATATAAAAAACCATATTAGTTTTCTTTACAAGCTAGGTTTATAAGGAATTTATTTTTTGTTGATGTAGATAATTAGAGATATTTTTAGACATTTTCTTTTACATAAAAATGTATATGTTATTTTTTCGAAAATACATTATGATTTAATTTACGAATTTACTAACTTTATATATATGAAAATTAACTATTAATCTAAAACTTAATATTTGTATATAAACTCATTGTTGTTCACCAACTTTCAAAATATTATTAAATCTATTTTTTTAATTAAATTTGATATATAATTGAATCCAACAACTATAAGTTTTTGTTTTATTTAATTTAAAGTAATTTGTAATTTTAAATAAAAAGAAAACAACATAGTAAACATATGAGTACAACTGAAGCATCTGGTTACTATTCCAATTAATTTGGATTTTTTTCCTTTCAATTGTGTTAATGTAATGTTTTTATTTCATTAGCAGTCTCAAATACAAAACAATAATTAATGTTCTAAAACTCTTACAAATCCATAAAATAACTATTAATATATCAATAAAAGC